TCTTCCCACTAAACCATGTTGACTGAAGTCACAAGGTAGGTCCAGGAAACAGGAAAGCCATTGTAAAAAGGTATGGTAGGGGGCAGCTAGGTGGTATAGTGGATAGAACTCTGGCCTTGGAGTCAGGAGGACCTGAGTTTAGATCCGGCCTCAGACATATAACACTTACTAGCTATGTGACCCTGGGCAAGTCATTTAACCCCATTGTCCCACCAAAAAAAAGTATAGTAAGCAGGGGCAGGCTAGAATTTTGGTAGAAAATCTCAGCATTGTTAGAAAGGGCACCAAACCGGAAGTTCAAAGTGCTGAGTCTGAACCTCAGTTCTTCCTCTAATTACCTGTGTAACCTTGGAAAAGTCAAGTCCCCTGCTCTGGGCTTCTGTTTTCTCATCTGTAAAATGAGGCAGTTGGGCTACATAGGACATCTTCTCAGATCCTTTCCTGCCCTATTATTCTATGAGTCTATCATTATAACTTCCAGATCATGTGGCCCTTGCCATCTGTCCAGCTGATGGACTAACTCTTAGAACTTCTGGTCCTTGCCATCTGCCCCGCAGCTGAATTTTCTTCTGTGTTGTCTTCTGTGTTGCAATGTCCTTGAGAACAGAGATGGTCCCAACTTTTCTGTTTGTTTCTCCCTGTGCTTAACACATAGTAAGCATTTAATAAATGATTTTTCAATCATTTATTCAATCTGAGAACAGGTAGAGATCCCAACAGCCTCAGTTGAGGCTGTTCCTGCATTTTCCTCTTACATCTTCTCCACCTATTCAAATCCTATCTATCCTTCAAAGCTTAACTATGATCCCACTTCCTGGGTGAAGTCTTCCCAAGTTCACCCTACCCAACAATGTTCCTCCCCATCTCTGAATTCTGTTTCCTGCTTCCTCCTGCTTGGAATCTTCTCTCTGCTTTCTCTATCCTTGAAGACATTCTACCTGTCATTCAAAACCAACATTGTCCATGAAGGCATCTAATGACTCTCTTCTCAGACCTTTGGCTTTCAATTTATGGTGCATCAGTTCTATCTCCTTGACTAATTATGAGGTAGTGGAAGGAACACTGGATTTGGAGTCAAAAGACTTGGGTCTGAATCCAAACCAAGTGGTTTCTGCACCATTTAAGGTCTTCCAAAAAAAAAGCAGAGGCTGGATACTCATTCATTTGTTGGGGGGTCTTGTAGAGTGGGGATTCTTCCTTAGGTGCAGGTTGGACTAGATGTCCTCCAAGGTCACTGCCAGCCCTGGATCCCTGATGCTGTAACTTCAGTTCCTTGCAGAATTGTAGGGAACTGGAGAATATGCCATCCAATGATGGATTGAAGGAAATGAGAATGTTCAAAGAGGAGACTTAGGTAGGGGCATGATAGTTGTCTTCAAGTATTTGAAGGGCTGCCACGTGAAAGAGGGTCAGACTTTCTTTGGCCCCAAAGGACAGGACTAGGAATGATGGGTAGAAGTTGAGGAAAGGCAGATTTAGGCTTGATGTGAAAAGCGACTTGCTTGCAAATCAAGCTGTCTTAAAGAAGAATGGGCTGCTGAAGGACATTGTGAGTTCCCCATCACTGGAGGTCTTCAAATGGAGGCTGGATGATGACTTGTTGGGAATATTAAAGCCAGGCTGTAATATCTTGTAATAGTGTACCTGTAATTCCTGCTACTTGAGAGGCTGAGGTTTGCAGATTGAGTTCAGGAGTTTTGAGCTGCAGTAGGGCTAACACCAAGTGGGTATGCATACTAAGTCCACTAACATGGTGATCCTCTGGGAATGGGAGCCATCAAATTGCCTTAAAAGGTGTGAACTAGTTCAGGTTGGAAATGGAGCAGATCAAAGCTCCCATGTTGATCTATGGGGGGGACTGGGTTGGCAAAAGGCTGCTCTACTTCTAGCCTGGGTGAAATAGGGAGACTCAGGGCAGCTAGGTGATGCAATGAATATGGCACCCACCATGGAGTCAGGAGAATGTGAGCTCAAATACAACCTCAGAAATGTACTATCTGTGTGACCTTGGGCAAGTCACTTAACCCCCCCTCCCCAAAACAAACAAACAAAGAATATGAAAGGAAAAATTTCTGTTCAAGTAGAGGTTGGACTAGATGGCCTTTAAGGTCCCTTCTAATTCTGAGTTTCTATAATTTTGTGATATGACCTAGGGTCAAGTCCTGGCTCCAAAACATCCTGATGGTGCCACCCTGGGCAAATCATTTAATATTAAGTGCTCCAGGCAGCTCTCTATAGTAAGTGAGGGAGGGGTTACACGAGTATCTGTGGAAGGAGTTTCTACCCTGGGAGTGTCTTGAACCAGAAATCAATTGTAGAACCACAACTAACAAACCAAAAACTACCTATTGAACCTTGGACAAGTCAACTCCTCCATTCTGGACCTCAATTTTCCCACATATAAAATGTAATTTAAACTAAATTTTATATATATATATATATATATATATATATACACACACACACATATATATGTATGTGTGTGTATATATATGTGTGTGTGAATATATACACACACACATTATATACACAGACATATATACCCATGTATAATGACTACTAAGTCCAGGAACTTTGCTAAACCCTGGGAATGCAGAAGACAGTCTCTGTCCTCAAGGAACTCCTAATTTACTGGATTATATGTTATACTTAGTATATATATATATACACACACACATACACTATATAGATATACACACACATATACACTACACACACACACACACACACACACACACACACACACACACACATATATATATATACCTATATAGACATATATACTCATGTATAATGCCTACTATGTTCCAGGTACTTTGCTAAACCCTGGGAATGCAAGACAGTCCCTACCCTCAAGGAACTCCTAATTTACTGGATTATATATATCATACTCTCTGTATGTATGTATATGTATGTATATATACACATAGGCATATGCATATGTTTATATATTATATACATATACATATGTGTATATGCAGTATATACACACATACATATACATAGCTAGAATTAAATGTGGTGTGTGTACACACATATGCTCAATTCTATACATACAGTACATAGCTATACACACATGTGTGCATATACACATATGTCTATATGTGTATGTGTGTGTGTGCTCATTTCTAGCTCTAAATCTTTGGACCCTTTTCAGAGGAGTTCGGTATTTCACATAGCAGGCTCTCGAAGAGTATTTGCTGAGAAAGGTGATGATGCCTAATGACTGAATCCCTTTTCTCCCTTGCAGAATAAAATCTTGTGGCTGTAAACAGAGTGCAGTAGTTTCCCCTCCCAGGCCAGAGCCCCTCCTCCTTCTCTACTCCACTCCACAAGCCAGCGTACCCCTACAGTGAAGGGCGTGCTGCTTGGGGGTGATCTCAACTGTCTTCATACACCACTCATAACCTCTATGGAGGGAGACTACTTTTCACAACTACAGAGTGGATTGAATTTTTTTTAATAAACTTCACCCCCCCCCAACTTTTGCAGAGGGATCCTAGCCCAAGACAAACACATTTCAAAACAGCTAGCTTCTGCGAGAGCCAAGTTACTCATTAACAAGAAGACAAACAGGTCAACATTGACCTAGATTGCATATGCCTTTAGAATTGAGATCCTGTCAATTTCAGGCCCCTCCCTCTTAACTTCCCCCCCATTCCCTCCCCCTCCCCACCCCTACAGGAATCAAATGTTCTGTTGAGCTGATGGATGTAGGTATACTTTGTATACTTAATCAAAACAACCCTCCTCTTCTCCAAATGTCATGGTAACCCATAAGAAGCAGAGCCCAGAAGGCAGAAAGATAGTCATTTGGTAACAACTATATTTTGTATTCGCTACAGTAAATAGACTTAGAATCATAGAATGTCTGGGACCTTTGAGAAGAGTTCCTTCAGTCCTCCCCATCCCCCAACTCCCACCCCATTGTACATATGAAAAAACTGAGGTCCGTTAAGGGAAGTAAGTGCCTTGCCTAATGCCACGTAGCATTGGTGGCAGATCTGGAACTAGAACCCGGGTTTTCTAGCAGCCTCTGCCTCTGGGTTTTCTGGGGGCATCTTTCCAATCAAATAAAAAAAAGAAGAAGAAGAAAGTGATAGTTTTCTAATTGACTGGCACAAAATGAGAAAATCAATTGCTTAAGGCCTCAGTTTTTCCCTCAGTCTGCCTTTTCTGAGAGTCCTCATGGAGCTGGGTTCTAGCCTCCAATTCAATGATTTTGCAAATAACAAATACATCATTATTTGTGCCCCATAGAAGGCACTCAGGAAAAGCCACTGATGTGGCTAGTAAAAGGAGGAGGTCGTCCATAAAATAAATTGCTTAAACAACATTTTTTATGATTCTTTTCCTTTTTTTGTCTACTCCATGGTCAGTATTGCAAAAAGAGTCATCATTATAAATTATGCTTTCAAGAAACATAATTATAAAACCTTCTATTTCTATCGTACTTTAAAGTCTACAAAATACTTTCCCTACAATCCCATGAATTAGAGACTATAAGATATTTTTATTGCCATCTTATAGGTGAAGAAACTGAGACTCAGATAGGTGATAGCAAACTTTTAGAGTCACAGATTTTACAGTGGAGAGGGAATAGAGATCATGTAATCTGACCTCTCTCATGTTAAAGATGAGGAAATTGACTCCCAGAAATGTTAAGAGGCTTCTATGGTCATTGGGTGATAAGTAGTAGAACTGAAATTTTGAGCCCATATTCTCTGACTATGAGTCCGGGGCTGATAAGAACTTAGAAAGTCCTTTAATGAAGGAAGGTTTCCATTTTGTACTTAACTAGTAAAAAAATGCATGTACATACACACATACATATATACATATATATTACACACACATACACATACATTTATCAACCAAGAATTCTCTCTTGGAGAGACTCACGGGCTACTTAAGTAGCTGGACCAATTGAAAATACGAATTCATCTTCCCAAGTATTGCCATTAGAGCAAAAGCCAGGGAGAGCTCAGCCGGTCACTCACCTGAGTTTGTGGGTAGCACCCGCAGGTTCTCAAACTCTAACATGGTGTAAGAAGAGTCCAGCGACACACTATAATCTGGCATATCCATATCCATTATGGTTTCATGAAGCTTCATGATCGCCTGTCAAGAGTCAGGGCTGAGACCACAACAGCCTGGTGTCAATCACAGGCAAGGTCTACTCAGGAGAAAACGCAGGCCTTAGGCCTCCCAAACAACAAATCATTATCTAGCTCCCTCCCTTCTCCTGGCCTGGCCTCCCTCCCCTCCTACAATGAGGCTGGAGGGAAGACAAGCCTGCTTGTTTCTCTTTCTATCTTCTAGCTCATTCTACCTGGGTATTGGTGTCTCCTTGGGATTGTATGATGCTGATACAACTTGGGTTGTATCCCTGGTTCAAAACAATGTGCTTTATGACTGAGCCCTAAAGGAATGGCCCTTGGCCTCACAGTGTGCAGGCAGATAAACCCAGCCTGTCTCTCCTCTGCCGGATCATTCTTCTGGGGCAGTCAAGCTGGTGGGTGTTGGGGGAAGAATTTGAGGGGGTAACGGTTTTTACCTCTGTGTGCCTCGGGCTTTTGACTCTCTTCCCATTGAATTTGTCAATCAGCTTTGTCATAAGTAGGGTCAGAAGTTAAATTACTTCACTGGCGCTATGAAGGTTTTAAAATGTTAGTCCATGTTCTTATGCGACATTACTGTTGATAGGCTAATTGGTATAATTCCTAGATGGATATGACAGAGCCTTTCCCCCTTCAGACTGTGCATGGTCACATCTGGGCCAGGGGGTTTCCAAACATTGACAAGTCATAGAATACATACATACATACATACATATATTTTTTTTTGGGGGGGGTGAGGCAGTTGGGGTTAAGTGACTTGCCCAGAGTCACACAGCTAGTGAGTGTTATGTGTCTGAGGGCAGATTTGAACTCAGGTCCTCTGACTCCAGGACCAGTACTCTATCCACTGCGCTATCTAGCTGCTCCTGTCATAGAATATTTTCTAAAAATTCATAAGAACCTTAGATGTCAGAGCTAGAAGGGATCATTTAATCTGATCTCTCTCTCTCTCTCTCTCTCTCTCTCTCTCTCTCTCTCTCTCTCCTCTGTTGTATCTATCTGTCTATCTATCTATCTATCTATCTATCTATCTATCTATCTATCTATCTACGTATCTATCTATCTATCTGCAGAGAGGTGGTACAGTGGCTAGAGCATCAGGCCTGGATTTAGGAAGACATCTTCCCAAGTTCAAATCTGGCCTCAGACATTTACTAGCTGTGTGACCCTGGGCAAGTCACTTCACCCTATTTGCCTCCATTTCCTCATTTGCAAAATGAGCTGGAGAGGTAAATGGCAAGCCACTCCAGTATTTTTGCCAAGAAAATTCTCCAAAATGGGGTCATGAAGAGTTGGACGTGACTGAAATGACAGAAGAAGGAGAAGGAGAAGAAGAAGCAGAAGAAGCAGAAGAAGAAGAAGAAGAAGAAGAAGAATAAGAAGAAGAAGAAGAAGAAGAACAACAACAACAACAACAACAACAACAACAACAGCAACAACAACAACAACAATACAACACAACCACAACAATAACAACAACACAAGACCACACATATCAGAGAGAAGATTCAAACCTTCTTCCTGGTCTTGACTGTTCTGGTCCTCTGACTCCAAACCTATAGAATGGTACAGTGGAGAGATTCTTGAATTTGGATATTTTACATATGTACACACACACACACACACACACATATGGATATATATATATATATATATATATATATATATCTCCATATATACACTAGTTTTCAGTCAATGACTAATGTGGGATAGGGTTTGAAAAAACAATGAAAACAAAATGACTCCAATGAATCTGTGAACTTCTTAATGTACATAGTCCCACCAGTAATGCAGATTGCCACACATTCACCCTTGCTTATCCTGTTTAATTCCTGTTCACATCTTACCATGAGTTTGCCATAGGGGATCCTTTAAGTTGCTGGGCTCTGCTCCAAGTTCAGACACCAAGCCACCCACCCACCCACAGGTGCCATCCTACAGTTATTTCTCATGTGACTGACCCTTCTTTTTCAACCCTACATTTCCTTGGTCATATCTTTGCCACCTTTCCTCCTTCCCAATTTCTTCTTTGGAGTATATGGCAGCCCATTCCTGAGCCATAAGCCTCTGCATCGGTTTGGGTATGGTCCTTAGCTTCAGTTCTCCAGAGACCATGCTGGTCCATGACTTATAGCCAGGAACTGTCAGCAGAACAACATTGGCTTGCAAAAGCAGCTACACAGTGTTTATAACAGCTTAGTGAGGTCAGAGGTGGGCTTAAAGGGGCAGCATGACAAAATAAAAAGAGTACTAGACTTAAAACCAAAGGGTTCAAATCTTATTACTACCCGTGTACCTTGGAGCAAGCCTTATTATCTTCCCCCTCAAGAAATCTTGATTTTAGATGGCCTCTGCTAAGGTCCCTTCCAGCTTTAATAATAATAATAACAACTATAGTAATAGTTAGCATTATACAATACTTTAAGGTTTGCAAAGCACTTTACAATTATGATCTCATTTGACTCTTACCACAACCCAGAAGACAGATGCTATTATTCTTCTTTTATATATGAGGAAACTGAGGCAGGAAGCAGTGAAGTCACTTGCCCAGAGTCACACAGCTAGTAAGTGTCTGAGGCTGGATTTGAACTCAGGTCTTCCTGACTCCAGGCCCAGAACTCTACCTGTTACAACCATGATGATCATGATTTTTGTTCAGTTGTTTTCAGTCGTAACTGACTCTTTGTGACTCCATTTTGGGGTTTTCTTGGCAGAGATACTGGAGTGGTTTGCCATTTCCTTCTCCAGCTCATTTTACAGATGAGGAAATTAAGGCAGAGTGAAGTGACTTGCCTAGGATCACACAACTAGTAAGTGTCTGAGGCTGGATTTGAACTCAGGTCTCCTGACTCCAGGTCCAGTGCTCTATCCACTGGCCAACTAGCCGATGATTGAAATATCATATTGTTTTTTTCCTTTTGGGCTGCTGCTTATCTAAGTGGTGGTTAAGACAAATGTAAGCATTTTCAATGTGGCAACTCTTGTTCTCTTGCTACTCTTTGATTATTCTGGGGAACAAATATATTGCTCCTGGATGAAGATGGGCATTCTCCCATGATTACTGCATTTAGAGGTGAAATGACTTGTCCATGGTCACAAAATTAGGAAATGACTGATTCAGGATTTGAACTCAGGTCTTCCAAGGCCAAATTCAACACTTTCACCGAACCATTCTGTAGATTTGCAAAGATCCTGGGCTGGAGTCTTCTCTCCACTACTTTGTATTTCTGCATCTGCTATGTTGAATCTTCCCTGCTGCTTTGGGCAAACCAATAAAACTCCCAGAGCCTGAGTGTCCTCTTTTATAAAATGAGAGGACTGGACAAAACCATGTCTAAATCTTAGGAGCCAAAGGCTTTGGGAGAAGCGGCTCATTTTTACAACTTGGTGTTCACTGGAAGCAAACTGTTACTGAGCAGATAAAGCAGAAAGAAGGGAAGATATTTGTTAGACAGAAGCAAAGGACTGTGAAAAGTGGAAGTGGAAGAATGGAACCCGCCCTCTCTCCCTCGGCAAAAAGATGACGCCTCATAATTAAATTCTTACTACTTGTCCTTGTGTTCCCAGAGCCTCGCATACACCAGGTGTATGTTTTGTTATTGTTCAGTTGTTTTTCAGTCATGTCAGGCTTTTCATGACCCCGTCTGGAGTTTTCTTGGCAAAGACCCTGGAGTGGTTTGCCAATTCCTTCTCCAGTTCATTTTACAGATGAGGAAACTGAGGCAAACAGGGTGAAGTGAGTTGCCCAGGATCACACAACTAGGAAGTGTCTGAGGCTGGATTTGAATTCAGGTCTTCCTGACTCCATGCTCAGTGCTCTATTCACTGCACCACCTAGCTGCACTGAGTACACAATAGATGCTAAATAAATGCTTATAATTAGGCTCACTTTGTACAAGTATCTACCTCCTCTTCCTTCCCAAGACCCTTGTGACCAAGGACCACATTTAGGGTGTTACATTGTTGGTCCCTGGCTGGGAAGCAAATAATTGTTCTAATTTCTTGGATTTCTTGAATGTATGGAGTGCTTTTCTCAGAATAACCCCATTAGTTTGGGAGTGTATGTTATTATCCCTACTCACAGATGAGGAAACTGAGACTCAGGTTAATACTATTTACAGAATGCTATGCTTTTATTTATTAACTCATTTAATCTTCTTTTTTTTATTTTTGGACCTAGTGTTTTTCAAATTACATGTAAAGGTAGTTTTCAACATTCATTTTTGTGAGACTTTGAGTTCCAGATTTTTCTCTTTCCCTCCCTCTCTTTCCCCCCTCCCCAAGACAGTGAACAATCTGATATAAGTTATGCATGTACAATCATGTTTAACATATTTCCACATTAGTCATGTTGGGAAAGAAGAATCAGAACAGAAGGGAAAAATCAGGAGAAAGAAAAGCAAAACAAAACAAAAGAGTGAAAATAGCATGTTTCGATCTGCATTCAGACTCCATACTTCTTTATCTGGATGGGGATAGCATTTTCCGACACACATTGTATTGCTGTAACTCATTTGATCTTGATAACAATTCTGTGAAATGGGTGCTATCGTTACTCCCATTTTATTGGTGAAGAAACTAAGCCTTGAGAGGTGTTAAATATCTCGCCCAGGGTCGTATAGCTAATTAGGTGTCCAAAGCAGGATTTGAACTCAGGACTTCCTGATTGGGAATCTAGCACTCTGCACCTGAGGAATAGCAGAATGGGCAAATGAGTTGCCCATGGTCATAACCAGCAAGTGGCAGAGCCTGGATTTTAATCCATGTCTTCCGCCTGAAAGTCATGGTTTTTTCCCGTATGATTGCTGGGGATTGAACGCATGATGTCGTCTCCAGTAACACAGAGTTCTAGGCCCCCGACAATATCAGTTTCCACAGAGGCCAGCCCCAGTTCTGGCTCTGCCATGAATAATTCAGAAGCTCCCTTGGTAAGATAAGAATTTATGCTCTGGACTCTGCCCCAAGGCTTCCAGCAGCACCAACCCCATTCACCTCAGCATCTGATCGGGAACCCTGACGTCACCAGGGCAATACTTGAGGCTTTGTATCAGTTGGTCCCATTTCTGAGAAGTGCCTAAGAAAAGCTGACAC